TCTCTCTCTCTCTCTCTCTTCTCCCTCCCCTTCCATCTTCTAAGAAGCCAGTGTTTTGTGAATTCTTTCCTCTATCTCCCAGAGAAATCCTGCTGCTCCCTCTTACCTCCTTCTTCTCAACCCCAAGGAAGAGAAGTTCCAGAAGCACTCCCTCCTGACATTTCACCCACATCTATGGTTAAGTCTCTCTCTCACATACACAGTCCCTCTGATGCTTTTTTCCTTCCTGGCCCTTCCTCCCTCCCCTTTCCCTGAGCGCATGTATGTGTATGTCTAAATTATCCCATTAACTGCCTTAAATATGAGGAGGACGTCGAGCTCCAGGGGTCCCCTCTGCACAGTGAAGAGGCCGCCAGACATCAGATCGAACTGTGGGACCCATAATCCACTCCTGCCGCTGAGGACAACTACCTGGGTGAGGTGGACGATGGGAGGTCTGTGGACTTTCCTGTGTGGAACCCAGATGGCACAGGAAGATCCTAGGAGAGCGGGACCAGACCCCATGCCGCCCAGAAGAGACAGCCCCCCCTAGAGGCTGATCTGAGCCCCCACGGGGGAATGCCATCGCAGGAGGAGCAACCAGGATCCCACAGCAACTGCCATGAAGGAAGGAGGCCCTGCCCGTTCCAGAAGCTGTGCAGAGGAGTGGCCCAAAGGAGACCACTGAAGTCCTCACTAGGTATGAAAGTTTTCCCTTTGTTTCCCTACTAACTACCCTTGGGCTGGGAAAGGGGGGGTGGGGGGGCTGTAAACCTTCTTTCTGACTGTCCTAGACACTACCCCTGAGTCTCTGTGATGATGGAGAGCCGGACCTGTCTGCGGTCACCAGGAGGCGCCACGTCAGAAGGAGTAGCAAGGCTGTGCCCCATCTTCTTCTTCTTCGGCTGCTCTCCTTGTTTCAGTACCAAGGGAGGAGCCAGCGCCCCCAGGAGGCCTGCGGACCACTGCCAGATGGGAGAATTCCACCATGTGCCAACCTTCTCCATCGGGGACTCACTCGGGACCCCTGAGTGCTCCATGCTGACTGCAGTCTAGAAAGAGGCCCTGGGTGCTTGGGGGGGGGGGATTGTCGAGGCTTGGGAAAATGAGTGTGGCCATTTTCCAGCCTCGAAGGGAGGATTTGATGCCAAGCCCCCCCCCCCCCAAATATTTGTAGTTCGCCAAGGGCCGGACGATGGATTCTGTTGCTTCCTGACCCAGCACACATAACTGGGTTCCTGTTTCCTCTCTGTGAATTCTCTGGCTTGTGCACTGGACCCTGGCCCCTGATCAGGGAAATGTAGTTTCCCGGGTCTCGGCTGGGAGATGCAGTTCTCTAAGGGACATTGCCCCACACTTCATCGTTTGGAAACTCTTTGCGGACCTTTCTTGCCATCACTTGTTGACTTGATGCCCTATCATCATGAACTTCCTCCACGATCTCAAAACCAAGCCTCTTGGGGAGCATGGCCCCCCCCCCTTTCCTCCTGTGTGAGTGCGTGCCCTTGCTAAAAAGATCATACCTCAAGAACTCTGCTGATTGCCCTTATCAATTGCTGTGGTTTCCTAATAAACTTTGCTGGGATGGGATGGGGACCCCCTTTTTCCATGATCTGTGGGTTTATGAAAGTCTATGAAGAATATATGTATGAAGTATAGGATATGGAATGAGATGTACCCTCGCCTTTTCCCTACCCTTTCCCTCTGAACTTTGCCCCACTAAGAAAGAGTATGTGGCCTGGGATTACAGTTAAAAGGAATCCAATTTCCTTGGAAAGGACCCCATTCATATTTACAGTGCATGGACAAATACTGACAGGTCTATGGCTTTGTTTTCAGAGTCAGACAAACAAAAGCCAGAAATCTGTCAGCCAAAAGCCCGGAAAAACAGACTGATTAAGCCAATCATGGTGTTTTGTGTACGCTCCCCTGTGACAAAGGACTCCCTTCGCCACAGGGTTGAGATCCAGACACCACCCATAGCCACCCTTATTCTCCTATACACATCTTTTATCGGAACCCAGGAAATCCCTTGTCTCCCCTTCCGCCTCCCTGCCGTGCAAAGAACAAAGGGTGTTCAATCAGCTGGCGGACACCTCCCAGGCACTCCGCCCCCTATGAGCTGTCAAACCAGGTCCCACCTCCTGGTCGCTGATTGGACCATCCTCAGAAGCGCTAGAAAGGCTCCGATTGGCCCCCTGGAGACAACAGCGCCCGGCGATTGGAGGGAAGGCGGGACATACGGCCCGGCCTCCTCCCAGCTGTTCCAGGGACAGCCAATCAGGGCGAAGCCAGCTGACGGAGGGCGGGAGGGATTTTCAAACTGTTTTTCCTTTGTTCTGACAATATAAAAATGCCTGTAACTTCCATGAATGTATGCTTATGGTGGAAATATCCCTGTAATGCATCTGATCTCAGCTGAATCACAATAAAACGCTTCGGTCGCAGATCTCCTCTTCAGCCTCTGGTGAGATTGATTTTCAACGGTTTCGCGCTTTTCGAATTGGCATCCGCTGGCCGCTCACCAAGGTATAGGACCCCTTTCGCGGTCCTCAGGGACTCCCCTCGCTGGGAGAACCCCCCAAAAGGGCTCGATATCATTTGGCTTTACCACGAAGGGACAAGCGGGCATCATCCGCTGGGTGGACCAACTCCGAGCCCCAGGGTTTCTGCCCATTGTATGGTTCATGCAAATAAGTCTTTGATAAGGTTCTTTTCAATCAGGCGATTTCCTCCTTCCCAGGGTCACCCAGGGGGCTTCTGACATTTTTATACATTTTTTCAATAAAAGGGAATAGGACAGAAGGGTCAGGCAAAGGTCATTCATAGGGGGATTGAAAAGGTAAAGTTTCCAAAAAGTTTCTGAGAGTCCTTCAGAAGGGAAAAAAGTCCCATAGAAGTTCAAGAGAGTACATAAGTGTAAAGGGAGGTGGTTTCTCAGTAATAAATGTGTTACCTTCTGCTATATATATGAAACATAGGGCATAAAATCTTGATTAAATGTACACACTATCTAACATGGGAAGGGTCCTTGTTGTTGTTGTTAGTGTCTTGGCAAATTGACCAAGGCTTAACCCTTATTATCCAGTCTGGTGTCCTTAGCGAAACTATAAGTTACTATCTTTTATGGGGGGGGGGGGATCATGTTCGACTTCATTTTAACAAATCATGGTAAGCAAACCATGTAATCAGTTCACCTTAGAGTTGCAGTAAGTCTGAAATGATTTGAATGCATACAGCAACAACAACGGGTGGATGCCTGCCCTGTTTGTTGGCAGAACAGGTTAAATCTCACATGAGTTGTATAGGCTGGCTGAGTCACCAAGTCACAGCTACAAACCGGTTGGCTGTAATAGAGCAAGAAGCAAAAGGTATAAACGGCAGGCCTGCAAGCCTCTACTTGTGCAGGACCTTGGGCTCATTTGTAACTGAATTGCTTCAATTGTTTTCTGTAAACAGCCTGGCAGCACATCTCCTTGATATATTATTTTTTACTTCCAGCTCCCACTGCCAAGATAGTTGGGAGAAACTTGGGAGTTTTGGTTCACAGAAAGCACTTTTTCCATGTGTTTCTCACCCGGGGGGTCTGGACCTGGGGGGTGGGGACGCAAGCGGGTGTGAGAGGAGTTGTCAAAGACCATCGGAAAACACAGTACTTTCTATTGGTTATGCGGGTTCTGTGTGGGAAGTTTGAGCCAGTTCTATCATTGCTGGGGTTCAGAATGCTCTTGGATTGTAGGTGAACTATAAATCCCAACAACTCTAACTCCCAAATGTCAATGTCTATTTGTCCTAAACTCCACCAGTGTTCACATTTGGGCATACTGAGTATTTGTGCCAAGTTTGGTCCAGATCCATCATTGTCCACAGTGCTCTCTGGATGTAGGTGAACTACAACTCCATAATAATAATCATAATCATAATCATCATCTTTATTTGTACCCCGCTACCATCTCCCCAAGGGACTCAGTGCGACTTACGTGAGGCCGAGCCCACAAGACATCAATAAACAAAACATCAAATAAAACAATCAATACAATACAATTCATATAAATTACATAAACAAAAAATAGGCAATAAACAATCAACAGTGACATACAAGCATTTAAAACCAATAGCCAAGCCAAATGTAATAGATTAAAATTAAAAAATAAATAACTCAAAGTCAATGCCCACCCAATCCTTCCAGTATTTTCTGTTGGTCATTGGAGTTCTGTGTGCCAAGCTTGGAAAGAGGTAACAGGATGAGAGTTTAGGAATGCATCTTAACCTTCTCTTCCAAAGAGTGTTGCTACCCACCACACTACAACTCCCAGGGTTCAATTGCACTGAGCCATGGCAGTTAAAGTAGTGCAATCAGAGGCGGCCCTAGGTAATTTTCGACGGTAAGCAACCAGTATTTTGGGCTCTTCCCCCCCCCCCCCCCACCAACCAGTCACTGATATATATTTTCTGTTCGTCATGGGAGTTCTGTGCCATATTTGGTTCAATTCTATCATTGGTGGAATTCAGAATGCTCTTTGATTATAGGTGAACTATACATTCCAGTAACTACAACTCGCATATGTCAAGGTCTATTTTCCTCCAAGAGTGCCTCAAGAGCGCCCCTGGGCAAAATCAACTATACTGCAAATGCTTACTTTGCATAATGGGTTGAGCCGCCCCTGAGAGCAATTCTGCCGTTTAGATGCACCCTAGGTCTCCCTTGTTCCCTACTGAATGTGGAATCCCATGAACCTGACATTGGTGTGACAGCAGCTAATCATGTGCCTTTCTCTCCTTTTGCCCCCAGTTGGAACAACTTGGCCATCTCCTTCCCCTGACAAAGCCTGCTGCTCTGAAGAAAGGCTTGCAGAAGGAGTTGAGCCTCTCAGAGATTCCTGGGAGCGGCCAATTGGAGGCACTTGCTGAACTTGACCAAGAGGTAAGAATAGTGTCTACTATCTACACTTAAGAAACCCGTATCCACAGAAGGTATGTTTCTGGACTTACTGTGGAAAAATTAAACAACAGGTAATGACAAACCCTATTGAATCCTTCTGGTGGAAGATGACCGTGAAGTCATGCCAGAGCATGTAGCAGATACCTATCAACGTCTTTTCTAGTATTGCTAGGTTGGAGTGTTGTGTGGTTTCCAGGCTGTATGGCTGTGTTCTAGCAGCAATTTTGTCGGGCGAGTGGGCTTATTAACAAAAGACCCTCCTCATAATTGTACTTATCAGCAGCAGCATGATCCAGCACCAGTAGCCCAAAGTGATAGAAAGAAAATAATAATAATCATCATCATCATCATCATCTTTATTTATACCCCCCCCCCCCCACACCATCTCCCCCAACGGGGAACTCGGAGCGGCTTACATGGGGCCAAGCCTGAACAACAAATTACAATACAAAAATACAAATTGCAATAAAATAAACAACATAACAATAAAGTATAAAACATCAAAGCATATAAACAATATACACCAAACATAGAAACCAAACATAATAACAGAGAGCGGGCCGCATATACATAAAATGATTTAAAAACTCAGGGTGAGAAAAAGGGGCAGAACTGTTTGTAGGGAAGAACTCATAGAGAGACAGAGAAATAAACAAACCTTTGTATGGGGGGACGGGGGGACGGGACGGACTCCTGGGCCAAGAACGTTGAGGGAGCAATAGCATAAGATGATGTGACTAGTACTCTCTGAAAAACACACAAACCATTGTTATCTCTTCCATAGTAGGTCTTTCTTTGTAGTAAAATAATATGGTTGCACTATTTACAACAACAAGGTTTCTATAACACAAATCAAGTTCTGTATACTTCTTTTTTTGAACAGCTTCCATGCTGGGCTTCTTTCTCATGCAGATAAACAGCTTTGCTCTTACAGAGCCTCTTCTCACACCAAACTTATACAGGAGCTTCACACAGTAGCTTTACACATAACAGCCTTCACTCTGGAGCTTCACACACAGTGGCCTTCAACCTGGCACTTCCTCTCATCATAGCTTCTCACACCAGGCCTTCTTAAACTGAGTCCTATCTCACATTGAGGCCTTTCTCCCACTGAGGGCTGTCTCAGACTGAGGCCTACCTCACACTGAGGCCTCTCTCACTGAGGTCTGCTAACACTGAGGGTTCTCTAAGCTACAGGCACACCTGCTTATATTGAATTACAGCTTTAGCAGAGTTATTGCATCCATTTAACTCTTTCAGTGCTTTTATTTATTTGGCGTGTCAGGGCAACCAGTCAAATATATTACATTTCTAACAGAACAAAGCAAACGAACAGACAAAATACAAAATGTGTGAAGTTTGGTAGTTGATTAAATGTCCTTTGACCAGTATCTGGCCACTTGGAGTGCTTCTGGTGTTGCTGCAAGAAGGTCCTCCATTGTGCATGTGGCTGGGCTCAGGTTGCATTGCAGCAGGTGGTCAGTGGTTTGCTCTTCTCTGCACTCGCATGTCGAGGATTCTACTTTGTAGCCCCATTTCTGAAGGTTGGCTCTGCATCTTGTGGTGCCAGAGCACAGTCTGTTCAGCGCCTTTCAAGTCGCCCATTCCTCTGTGTGCCCAGGGGGGAGTCTCTCATCTGGTATCAGCCATTGGTTGAGGTTCTGGGTTTGAGCCTGCCACTTTTGGACTCTCGCTTGCTGAGGTATTCCAGCGAGTGCCTCTGTAGATCTTAGAAAACTATTTCTAGATTTAAGTCGTTGGCGTGCTGGCTGATACCCAAACAGGGGATGAGCTGGAGATGTCTCTGCCTTGGTCCTTTCACTATTGGCTGCTACTTCCCGGCGGATGTCAGGTGGTGCAATACCGGCTAAGCAGTGTAATTTCTCCAGTGGTGTAGGGCGCAGACACCCCGTGATAATGTGGCATGTCTCATTAAGAGCCACATCCACTGTTTTAGTGTGGTCAGTGCTTGACTCATATTTTTGTAATTAAAAAAATACCTAGTTAATTTTTAATATTTCTGACAAATTTCTCCTGACATTTTCCCTGCATCTGTCACTAGCATCTCCAAAGATACCAACCATACAATACTCCAGTGATTCTGGCTGTGAAAGCCTTTGATAATACATTGAATATTTCTAGGTTCTCTATAGTTAGTAGTCATCTTATAGCAAAAGCATACCATAGGACCATGCTTCAAGACCTAGAAAATGCTGAGAGAGAACATATTTTTCAGATGCAGGTAAGTGAAATTCCAAGTGAATATGGAAGTATCCTGTATATGTTGATGTCATGGAGGATTTATGAATGTAGTAGATAAGGTTGCAATGGAGACAGGGCCAGCAAAGGCAGAGTGTTGAGGTTAATAGCAACCTAAGGCTTTCCTGTCCTTTTCAAACTTAGTTGGCAACTGGGAGATTGGGACAGGGTATAAACTGATTTTTCAAACGTGATATTGTTATGAGCTATCCTTGTTACAATGCAGTGTGTTTGTGAACTGGTTGGGTCTTCAGTTGGCAATTGAGAGCTATTCCTTGATGGAGAAGAGGGGGCCAGAACAGATGTGTTGATCCGACACAGTTGGCTTCACATTTGGCTTCTCCTTCCCTTCCCTCCTCTTCTCTCATGGGGACACACACCCTTGTTTACATTTACTCTCTTGGCATGCTGTTTCTTGCTTGCAGCTTTGATATCATTATTTGTAAGATTTTTTAAAGCAGTCTTGGCCAGTTGGGAAACACCTTGGCAGTGTTGCATCATTACACAACCATCCAAGTATTGTTCTCCTTCTTAACAGGTTTTCTGCTGTCACATAGTGGTTTGAACTTTGGACTAGGAGTTTAGGACACCTGGGCTTGAAACAGTCTTCCTGCTCTCAGTTTGATACGAGAATTTTTAATGGAACTTATCTCGCTGCTTTGTGGAATAGTTGTAATTCTGTATATTTGGTTTGCAGAGAATATGGGAGGGATGGCATGTAACCTGTGAAACGCACCCTGATGTCCATTTCATCTTAATCCTATCGGTTAAGACGTCTAGCACAGTGTTTCTCAACCTGAGGGTCAGGACTCCTGGGAGGTCCTGAGGAGGTGTCAGAGGGGTCGCCAAAGACCATCAGAAAACACAGTATTTTCTGTTGGTCATGGGGGATTTGTATGGGAAGTTTGGCCCAATTATATCATTGGCAGAGTTCAGAATGATCTTTGATTGTAGGTGAACTATAAATCCCAACAACTACTGTGCTGTTGCACGCTGGGCCTGAAATAATGTCTGTTTACAGAACGTGGTCTCTGTATGCCCAACGGGACGCCGGGGTGCCTCAGCTGAAGGGTCCCTTAGATTTCCCAACACAAAGTTCTATTGAGGCTCAAAATAAGTTCAACAAAGTTCTTTATTTGGGCTTAAATCTTCAAACAAATGAATTAAATGCTTTATAACTTGGAAAACCGGTAGCTTCCTCAATCTGCCAACAAGGAGCAGGCAACTGGTGGTAAACTGTTCCTTTCTTCCTTAGGGAAATCCTTTGACCCCTCCCCGGGCAATCTCTCTTTACCTTGCTGGCGTGAGGCCCCTACTCCCGGCTCCAAGCTGCTTTATGGATAGCCCGAGTGGTCCCTTACCAGGCAAGGTTCCTGTAGATCTGCCAAGCTGAAAGGTGTCCTTTAGTTTCTCCACGAAGGCTGTAGGAACTATTTCTTTACTCCCCAGCAGAGCTGTGGATCTATTTCTTTAACCCCCAGCAAATGCTGTGAGAAGTGAAGCCTTTGTGCAGGTGGGAGAGCGAGACCCACACGTCCTGCTGTTAGGCTCCAAACAGTGAGACTGAACAAAGATCCTCTTTTGCCTCCAAAACCCTTGGAAAAGGGGCGGGTCTAAAGATTCTAACGATGATTGCCAAGTTGTTGGCCCTATGATTGCAACCTGAGGGAAGCTACCTTATTGCAAAATGCATGGCTTAAATAGATTCATGCAAACTAGCAGTGCAAGAAAAGGAATTCAAATCTCCTGGCATTGCTGTGCCAGCACAACTACAACTCCCAAATGTCAAGCTCTATTTTCCCCAAACTCCACCAGTGTTCACATTTGAGCATATTGAGCATTTGTGCCACGTTTGGTCCAGATCCATCATTGTTTGAGTTCACAGTGCTCTCTGGATGTAAGTGAACTACAATTCCAAAACTCAAGGTCAATACCCACCAAACCTTTCCAGTATTTTCTATTGGTCATGGGAGTTCTGTGTGCCAAGGCTGGTTCAATTCCATTGTTGGTGGAGTTCAGAATGCTCTTTGATTGTAGATTCCAGCAACAACATCTCCTAAATGACAAAATCAATCCCCCCTAACCCCACCAGTATTCAAATTTGGTCATATCGGATATTTGTGCCAAATTTGATCGGGTCAATGAAAATACATCCTGCATATCAGATATTTACATTATGATTTATAACAGTAGCAAAATTACAGTTATGAAGTAGCAGCAAAAATAATTTTATGGTTGGGGGTCCCCACAACATGAGGAACTGCATTAAGGCGTCATGGCATCAGAAAGGTTGAGAAACACTGGTCTAACAGGTATGTCTGGCTTCATATTAGTTGGTGGTAAAGCAATGCTTTTGCACAACAAGCAGGGTTCAAACCAGGAAAAAACCAGTACAACTCAAATTCCCTACTTGGCTGAGTATATCGAGGAAGGTATGAGAAATGTTGCATTACTGGAACAGTTTTTATGGACATTCAGCTTCCTATAACATTGTACTACACAGGAAATTGCTGCATAAAGTCTACCATATCACCTGGGACTATGATTTTACAAAAGCTATCAAGACCCTCCTAGAAAACCGCAGATTCTATGTGGAGTTCCAGGACAGGAAAAGTAGATGGAGGAGGCAAAAGTATGGTACACCTCACGCAGCATTCTCGCACTGACCTTGTTTAATATTTTTACTAACAATCAGCCACAACCACCAGTCCATCACTGTCATATATTATGCAGTTGATGGTTGTTGATGGAAGGGTTAATGTGAGTATTAGTTCTAGAGGGTTTGGTAATCTGTAAGTGGGAGTTCATGGGTGAAAGCAATTAGGGATGGAGGTGTGCAGGAGATGAGTTGCAGCTGGGTGTTACTGGATTTAAGGAGCTAACCTTGAGTCTGATCTTTGGGAGAAAAGTATCTGTTGTATTTCGGTGGTGGATGTTGCTGGTTTCCCCCCCAGGTCTGTTGGATTTTTCGGTATTCTGACCTATCTCCTGTAATCTTGGAATCCTGGAACCTTGAACCTTTGGACTGGCTTTTGACTACGGTATAGACTCTTGATCCCTGGACTTTGTTTATTGAACTCTCGGCATCTGACCACTGGACTGGACCCTTTTGCTACGGAGTTGTTTTTGCTATCCATTTTTGTTTATTCTGTAGTTGAGTGCTATCTTTGTGTTTTATATTTTGATCTATTAAAACTGCCAGCAAGTAAGTCTGTTTCAATTAAACTGTTTGATAAAACTGGGAATTTGATTCATCTCTACCTGAATAAGGCAGAGCCCTGGTAATATGACAACCACTCACAAAAAGCTTTGTATAAGCTGATGACCTTGGCCTAACAACACAAGCAAAAGACTGAAACAGTTGAAAACCAGCTTACTAATGCTCTGAAAGATCTCTCCAGCTACTACAAAGCTAACCACCTGAAGCCTATCCATGCCAAGACACAAGTGTGTGCTTTCCACCTACCTAATCGTTAAACCAACAGGAAGGTTACCTGGGAAGACCAATAGCTTGAACACTTCCCACCCTAAATATCTCAACGTTACCTTAGATCAAACACTAACATTTAGGAAACACTGTGCGAACACCAAGCACAAAGTGGCCGCATGCAATAGCATCCTGTGGAGACTTACTAATAGCACACAGGTGCTGCAGACACAAAATGAATAAGAACGTCAGCCCTGGCCTTGTTTTGCACAACTGCTGAGTATGCCTGCCCCATCTGGCATAAATCTGCCCATGCGAAGTAGGTGAATATACCACTGAATGAGACACAGGATGTCTTAAACCTACACCTGTTGATAGAATCTTTAAGCTAGCTGGCATTGCCCTTCCCCCCAATATGCAACAGGAAGTTGCTGCTTAACTGGGAGAGAAATAAGGTCTAACCCTGTGAAAGCCATGCACTGCATGGCTATCAGTCTCCTCCCAGTAGACTCAAATCAAGGAAAAGCTTCATGAGAACCACCACTCCTCTTAACAGAATGAGGACGTCATCTCTAACCTTCACCACAACATCAGTCGATGAGCTCCTGACGACTGGCACTGCTCGTTCACTTCCACTGCCTTCCTGCTACCAACTTCCCCCGTGAAAATTCCCTGCAAGAACTATGTGCCTTGTAACCTTACTTTCCAGATATCTCTCATACAATGCAAACTTTGCACATAGAGGGAAACGGAATGAGGATGCTCATCTCTAGACTTCACCACAAGACCAGTCGATGAGCTCCTGACGACTGGCACTGCTCGTTCACTTCCACTGCCTTCCTGCTACCAACTTCCCCCGTGAAAATTCCCTGCAAGAACTATGTGCCTTGTAACCTTACTTTCCAGATATCTCTCATACAATGCAAACTTTGCACATAGAGGGAAACGGAATGAGGATGCTCATCTCTAGACTTCACCACAAGACCAGTCGATGAGCTCCTGACGACTGGCACTGCTCGTTCACTTCCACTGCCTTCCTGCTACCAACTTCCCCCGTGAAAATTCCCTGCAAGAACTATGTGCCTTGTAACCTTACTTTCCAGATATCTCTCATACAATGCAAACTTTGCACATAGAGGGAAACGGAATGAGGATGCTCATCTCTAGACTTCACCACAAGACCAGTCGATGAGCTCCTGACGATTGGCACTGCTCGTTCTCTTCCACTGGCTTCTCGCTACACGGCAGTGATACCAAGAGCTAGGTTTTGTAATCTTACTTTCCGGATAACCCTCATACTTGGACGGGAGTATGCTAATGAATCCCAAGTATTGTAAGTTGCATTTCAGAGGAGGAAACTGAGAAAACCACCTCTGAATATTCCTTCACAAAGAGTGCTATGAAATCATGGGATTGCCATAAGTCGGCAGGTGGCTTGAAGGCACACACAGGCTCACGAGCTTCCTTCCTTCCTCCCCAAAATGTTTTGCTGACCTTGCAGAGAAAGGCCAGGGCATTATTGGTGGGTGCGTATAGGAACAGAGAGGGGAAGCTCTCTCCCATCTGCCAGAGGTTTGTGATGGAGATGTTTATTTTCACAGGACTACAAATGGTTTCTTTCTTTCTGGACAGCCTTAGAGATTTGTTGGGAGCCAAGGGATCTGGTTGGAGGCATCAAAGGTGAAAAGTGTGGGCTGGGCGTAGATCAGAGGAGTCAGAAGAAGTGCCTCTTTATAGCCAAGCGCTGGGCCTTGTTTGCAGAAGGAAGCAAGGAGGAAGGGGGCAGAGCGGTCCTTTAATGTGTGGTTTTTAATTGCAGCATGGAGGAAGGGAATGATTTCCAGGGAAAAAACAAAACAGGCTGATCAGCAAAGGAAGTCATGGGGCACCAGGGAAGAATGGCAGTCTTGTACCACCGCAGTTGTGTGTTTTTGTGCCTTGACATACCAAGGACGCTCGCCTTGAGTTGCATTTGCGCATAACTTTCTGTGCAAGGCTGAAGCATTCCGAACCAAATCCCATGCTAACTTGCACATTAAGCATTCACTCTGTACTTGCTACAGATCTTGAAAGAGTGATTTATTCTTGTTTTTCCCCTTGCTTCTCTCCTGATATGCATTGAAGGCTGGGAGTCTATTATGTCCTTCCCTAGTCTTCCTCTCTCCTCCCCAGCCCCCCAAAAGCAGAGGGCAGTCGGCATAAAAGAGATGTTCCATCCATGAATTTTCATGATCCGGCGGGCTGCATTAATTGATCTCCAGCGTCAAACTATCTCGTTCCCTTTTACGGCTGCTCCCGTCCCTTTTGTATCCTAACAAGAAATTACAACACAGTATAAAGTGTGATTCTCCCCCAACACAAACCGCTTTTCCTTGCAAACTTGGCACATGCGTTTCCAAACGTGTTGACAGCTTCTTTTGAGAATCTCCCTGCCACCAGCTCCCCCTTTAATTGCCTTCTGTGGGCCTTGTTTCTCATCTTTTCAAGGGAAAATGATCTCCACTTATTAGAGAAGAGGGGTTTTTTGGCTGTGCAGAAATCCTCAAACCCAGAGTGTGCTGTGTATTGGCACATCGTCCCTCATGTGTAAATTATTCCATAACCTCACGCTGAAATGTCAGCATTTCCCCAGCCAAGTATGTAAAGAGACAAGAAGGACGGGGCAAGTGGTTTTCAATGGGAGATGAGTGACAGATGCAGCAATGGCCAGCAGATTGCCATGTCCCTTGAGGTGGGTTTACAGCAGTGGTTCTCAACCTTCTGAGTGCCCCAACCTCTGAATACAGTTCCTCATGTTGT